GAATACAGTTACTCATATTTTGTATTTTAAATACGTAACGGCGGTACATGTATTCCGTTACTCCCCAACACTGCTCATCGTCCACTGGAATATACACTGGGTGGGCGAACACCATCCCCATAGACGCAGTGAGCACAGAAGAAGGCATCATATCACAAAGACCCAGAGAACAGAGTGTACGCTGTAACTTCTACACTCAGCAAACCGAACAACCTCTGGCTATGACAGAGCACGACCTCGTATGGCCAGGATGTGCTGGACAGGGAGGAACGCTGGTATGAGCAGTGATGAAACACTTACTCCACTGAAAAAGCAACGCAGTGAACAACTTTCCATTTAAGACTGATTGTGAAAAATAAGGTTACATTTATTTATTGGGCAGAGAGTATGCCATCCTCCTTTTATAGTCCTGCATACCTGAAACCAGTGACACCATCACAGGGAGAATACTTAACCCTCAACTGTCAGATACCAGAATGTGTGCTGTATAATTTATAGTAAGAATATTCAGAAGCTGATTACAGCTCATTATATAGAAATATTTCAAAGATTAAAGGATATTACAGTCATTTACAGAAACATTTACAGCCTGATTTTATCTGTGCCTGGATTAAATGATCAAACCTAGAGATGTTCGTGCTGGGACGGCATCCTTGTTAATCCAGAAGGAGACCCAGGACAAAACCACAATCATGCTGCAGGGGATGTAGGTCTGGATGGTGAAGTAACCCATTCTCCGACTCAGGTCAAAGAAGATTGTCATGATGACATATTCCCCTGAAAGTTTAATAAATGAAGGGCAAAAGCAAATTGATGTGATGATGTCGACTCTCTGCTCTGTAAAACAACGACAGCTTGTAGCATAAGATCAAAGTCAACACTGATACTATGATAGTGAACTTGGTTACAGTCTCTGACCTGATTGCGTGTGCGCGACATCAGAGGTGTTCCTCAACCCCACAAAGGCAAACTGGTAGAGTCTCCAGTACCGCTGGTCCGCCACCTCTACTGCTCGTCTCTGCCACCGATACATGATCTCGTTTTTAGGATAACCATCTACAGCCCAACAGAAACAGAACTGTAAATAACTGTGTACAAATGAGTGCTCCACCTGAGGTCAACCACTATACATTCATCTGACTTCTGACTTCTATAATGTTTACATGTTCGAAGGTTTAAATGATTCAAATTCATATTTAAGGATGTCGTTCTAATACTTCTAAGTTATGGGTTACATGTTAATAAAGCTTAAGAAAGGCCTGTGTTTAGGAAATACAATGGCTCCGATTAAGATAAAAGCAAATATCAACTTTTATTTGCATTGACATGCTCAGACTTCATTAACATTGTCACAACAAGATAAACAAAAAAAGTATGAAAAGCTGTTTTTACACCAAATGTCTGTAATGCGTTTGTCCTTCTTCTAGCATGGAGGAAGAAGAAGATCAAGACAATAAGAGATGAGCAGCCAAAGCACAATGCAAGTGACAAATGAAGGATGAAACGGACGACATGACAGCACAGAAAAAAGTGCATAATTCATTAAGTCTGTCCGAGAAATGGGACTGTGTGGCTTCCTCTCTCTCTCCTGGTGAAGTGGATGATAGATTGGCACAAGCTTAAAGTAGCCAGCCTGAAGCAGATGGGGCAGTGGGCGAATAAAGGCTGAGTCGGTATG